CCCTTCATCTACCTTGGTTTTGAGAAATCAAACTTCGTTTTCACTCTGAAGTGAAAGGATACAATTCTATTTAATTGTTAGATATTAATTATTAAGTATTTTTTATATTTCATAATAATTTTATTTTTTAAATTTTAATTAATAATTAATAAAATCTATCATATTTTATCTATAATACTTTTAAAAAATAAATAACCAAACATCAAAATAACTTTTAGCCACAGTTACAGCACAACCACAGCTACAGCATTTCACAGTAATTCCAAATGTACCCCTAATCTCTTAATTATTTCATTCTTCCCAGTTTCTTTAAATTCTTTCAATTAAATACTTATTCTAAAAGCTACTTAATCTTTCAATTTGATCCTTATTTCACTTATTTTTACTACATTTATCATAAAAAAATGAAATAATTAAGAGATTAGGTCCTGCATCTAGGTTGATGAATTTCACTTATTTTATGAGTTTTCACTAAAAAATAATTAAGAGATTAAGTTGGGGAGAGCTAGGTTGGTGATATGGCTACTGACATGGAATTTGTGGAGTACGTTCACAATTGAAATTAATAAAAAGATTAATAAAAAAAATAATGGATGGGTTGAGGTCTGACGGAAAAAAAATTCCGTTACATGATAGTTAGTAACGGTGTTAACTGAGTGTTATGGGAGGAAGGTAACTAGTATGAAAATTGAAAGTAGAGGGAGGACAGTAGTATGTTTTGGGAGAGTAGAGGGAGGACTTTGAAAGATTTCAAAGTACAGGGAGGACAATGAATGAAAAATAAAAGTAGAGGGACTACAGTTGGTTTTAACCCTAAGTTATTTGCTCCCTTTTAGCCTTTATGCAGAAGAATGAAACACATCTGCATCTGAATTCATTTCTTCACCAAATTAATCACTCTCCATAGCATTTCCTGCCTCACATATGCAGGAAAAAGAGAGTTGCATCTTGATTGGCCAACCAGGTTCAGTATCTGCCTGGCAACTGCAAGAGGACTAGCTTATCTTCATGAGGAATCAAGGCCAAGGATCATACACAGAGACATGAAGACAAGTAACATTTTGCTTGATGCTGAGCTCTGTCCGAAAATATCTGACTTTGGATTGGCAAAACTATATGATGACAAGAAAACTCACATCAGCACCCGTGTTGCAGGAACCATGTAAGCTTCTTGAATTAACTATCAAAAGAGTATCTAAATGGTTATTTGCATTATATTGTAGCTCATATATGTTATTGGGCTCCATGGCATCAAACCATCAATGGAATCCGGAGACTTAGTATCATAGATAGAGAAATCATCTCAATAAACCTTCAACATGCAAATTTAATTGCTTAATTGCAATATTGGCAGTGGCTATTTGGCACCAGAGTATGCAATGCGTGGGCATCTCACTGAGAAGGCAGATGTTTTTGGCTTTGGTGTTGTTGCTTTGGAAATTGTCAGTGGAAGACCAAACTCTGACAACAGCCAGGACAAGGACAAGATCTATCTTCTTGAATGGGTAAAGAAAGAAACTCTGTTCTTTTTTCCTTCTTTATAGATACATTCCTTGTGCATGAGATTTACTTATACAATGTTTCTAGGCATGGATTCTGTATGAAAGCAACCAAAGTCTAGGTCTGGTGGATCGAACCCTAGTGAAGTTTGATGAAAATGAAGCTTTAAGAATGATAAGAGTGGGACTCTTGTGTAGTCAAGCATCGCCAATGATGCGACCACCCATGTCAAGGGTTGTAGCTATGCTTGCTGGGGATATTGAAGTAAGCCCTGTTGCCTCAAAACCAAGTTATTTAAACTGGAATTTTAAGGACATAACAACCAGCTCCATAGCTGAAAACACACCATCTACTGCATCTGAGCACAGTAACAAGCACAAGAACAATCTTAATCCAGAGGTAGAGCTGGTGCCTTCTCCATTAAGTACGGCTGAATTCAGTGACAGTTTTGGGGAAGGAAGGTGAGAGATGAGATGTTCTTTCTTGCAAGCTTCATTTTGTTACTTCTCCTGCTTCTACCTCTGCTACATATTTTCTAGCTCATATGTTGATCATTTCCCTCCGTGTGAACTGAACAAGATAATGAAATATTGGCATGCAATAAGGTTGCGGTGTGCAGTGTTTTTAACTTAGGATGTCATTCCTATCGTGTAGTAATATTCTTCAAATCTACAAACCTAGGTTTGCAATTCCATGTAATATAACTATGCATTTTTTCTTTTTTT